TTGCGCAAAATGACCTTTCACTATCGCCTCATTTATGCAACTCTAAGTACCCAATAAGCATATGTTTTAACAGGAAATGAGTACATTACTGTCTATGTAATTTATCACTTGTAGCAAAATAATTACAAAAGTAGAATATGAATAGTAGAGTTATTCAAAAAATAAAGGAACTACATAGACACTAAAAATACATTTGTTTTGGTATCCTTACCCCTACATTACTAGAATTTAACATCCCTGAAGTTATGCATAATATAATATCAACAGCATACATTCATATTCCTCCTCTATCTCTCTTGGAGCCATGTAATACTAACGATAAAAATGCATAACAATAAAATCTAACAAAAGAATTTTAAAAATAATGAAAAACATCCATAAAATTAAAATTCACATTCTACTTCAGTGGGTTACATGGCATGTACATTTATTACATATACATATATGTAAATCATATAAATAAATCATATATATATATACATATATATATATAATATATAATATATATATATATATATATATATATATATATTTTCTCTCTCTCTTTATATCTATATCTATATCTATATCTATCTATCTATCTATACACACAGACATGCAGAAAACTGATAAATAAAATCACATTCGTCCAAACATCGATGCGATGAAAGCCAGACAACTACACAGACAACGGTCAAGTTCACAACTGAGACAGTACACACAAATACACTTATGGGGTCTCTTTACTTTTCAGGAAGTAGGCTGCTAATAAGGTAGGAAGGCCATTTGCTTCAGGATTTATGTATACTCCCAAATTTGTAATACAAAAGTCCTAGCATTCTATATACTTCCAAAAATCTATACCAAGTATAACTGAGGTGTCCATAAATATCTATTGTAGGCAAGGTATATCAAAGGACATGTTAGATCTGTGTAATATACAGTTTTCTTTCACTGTATCCTGATAGAATTGATAGAATCAAACAGTTGTTAACGATGAAGGCTGAAGAACAAAGGTACTAAATTGAAAAACAATAAGCTATTCAATTCTATCATTTTCAATGCATTCTTATCATTCAGATTGTATCTTATACTCTTCATTTGAAGATCTATGAGATAAAAATAACTAAGAATGGAATAAAGATAATGCTGAATAAAGATTAATTCTTTAGGGATGAAAATGAGTTAATTCCTCATATCAGCATAACTGATCCAAGAGAACAATAACAATACCTAAAACAAAAAAAAAAATATATATACTGACACCTTGAATCAATACTGACTTAAGCTACTTTACTAACTGAATCTTACTATATCTTTTGTCACTCTTTATTCATATAGTACAAAAGATGGTTCATCTTTTTAGTCCAAAAAAATACTCACTTTCTGTCAATCAGTTGTGAATAAAAGAGTGAGTCAGTGGACAAATGAGTAAGGCGATGAATGAATTAATTAATCAATAAATGAGTGAGTGAGTGAGTGAGGGAAGGAGCGGGGCAATGTGTATATAAGTACAAGTATGAGTGTAAATGTGAGAGTGAGGATGAGAGTCAGTGTGTGTGTGAGAGAGAGAGAGAGAGAGAGAGAGAGAGAGAGAGAGGAGAGAGAGAGAGAGAGAGAGAGGAGAGAGAGAGAGAGAGAGAGAGAGAGAGAGAGAGAGAGAGAGAGAGAGAGAGAGAGAGAGAGGAGAGAGAGGGAAGAGGAGAAGAGAGAGGAGAGAGAGAGAGAGAGGGAGAGAGGAGAGGAGAGAGGAGGGAGGAGGGAGGAGGAGGGAGGGAGGAGGAGGGAGGGAGGGGAGGGAGGAGAGGGAGGGGAGGAGAGAGGAAGAAAAGGGAGGGAGGAGAGGAGAGAGGAGAGAGGGAGAGGGAGGAGAGGAGAGAGGAGAGAAGAGGGAGGCACGAGAGGAGAGAGAGAGGGATGAGAGGGAGAGGAGGGAGGAGAGGAGGGAGGGAGGGAGGAGGGAGAGAGGAGGGAGGGAGAGAGGAAGAAAGGGAGAGGAGAGAGGGGAGGGAGAGACGAGAGAGCAGAGAGGGAGAGAGGGAGGGAGGGAGAGAGAGAGGGAGAGGAAAAGGAGAGGGAGAGAGAGAGGGAGAGGGAAGAGGGGAGAGGGAGAGGAGAGAGGGAGAGGGAGAGGGAGGAGAGGAGAGGAGAGGGAAAGGGAGAGGGAGAGAGAGAAAGGGAGAGAGAAGAGAGAGAGAGAAAGTGTGTGTGTGTGTGTGTGTGTGTGTGTGTGTGTGGTGTGTGTGTGTGTGTGTGTGTGTTGTGTGTGTGTGTGTGTGTGTGTGTGTGTGTGTGTGTGTGTGAGTGTGTGTGTGTATTTGCTATCTTACTCAATACAAGTTCATATATCATTTGCAAAATAATGAATCCATCACTATTATCACAATTATTAATCCCTAAAACATGAACCTACATCATTGACAGTTATTTCTATAAAGTGTACTTAATAGATTGATCTTAATCTATACTCACTACTTTTCCATCTCTAATTATATACTATGTTCACAGCCCATCTCTAAGA